GGGCATTCATTAACCAAATTTTCAACCTATGGTATTTGCTTTTTAGAACACATGGGGATATTTTATGTGACATTTCATTTTGCTAGAAGAGTAGTCAGCTCAAAAAAATTAGTTCTGGGCTAGAGAAATGGCTTAGTGGGTAAAGTGCTTGCTGATGAGTTTCGATCCCCAGAATCCACATAAAAGCCAGATGCAGTCAACTCCCTAATGGATGATGGGAAGAAGACACAGCAGAAATCACGAGATGCTTGTGGGGCAGTTAGCCTCGAGTATGCAGCAATATGAAGAATGAGACAAGTCCTGTCAAATGAGGAGGAAAGCAAGGATACCTGACGCTGTTTTCTAATCTTCACATACACACATCTGTAACCATATCCATGTTCACATGTGGGGGAAGGGGAAGAAAGACAGAATTCTGCTAAGATAATACAAAATCTACATTTGGCACTTAAATTCATGTATCTAAGAATTACTGGAAGCCTATTATGGAGATGGGCAAAAATTTCAGTGACACAGCACCTGCCCACACTTGCTTCCAATGTGTGGGATGCTTCTCAGAAGGAAGACTGCGCTAATCCATAAATAGGTGTATCAAATCCCTAGGCCCCTCTCTGGTTCTCAATGACCTGTGATTTATCCAGTTATTTATCAAATAACTGGAGGGAAAAAAATTCCAACCTAGGAAGAGAGGAAAGCACTTTAATATCTGATTGGGAGTTTCCTGTTAAGTTTACAAAGATGTAAACAGCATGGTACTAGCAGAGCACAAGGAAGGACCAAATACATTGGAGGAAACTCTTCAAGAGAATTCACATTTGAGAAAGACTTTAAATATGGTTTACCATAACAGTGCATTTCCAAGAAAAATGCAATAGTGAGGGCAAGTTACAGGCATGCGCGCATGGGGGGGGGGGGGGTTGCTAATGCTATTCAAAAGACAAGGACTTGGGACATTGGCAATGAGTATAGGTAATAAGTTGAAAATGATACTTGAGCATTCGTTCTAAACCGTTAGAGTGAGTGGGAACTTGCCGGTGGCCATGTCAGAGGAACAGCAGATGGCAGAAGACTTCAAGGTGTCAGTCCACCGGGAGGAAAATCCCTGATGGGTCAATCTCGGATAGGCAAGGCCCTGAGACCACAGATCCTGGAATGTCTTCTGCTTCTGCTGTGCCTTCACATGTTTGCTACTGCCATCTTTCTCTGGTATCTGGTATAGTGTGAATGGGTGTGGAGATCCCCACTGCCTGTAATGTAGTATGTTTATGTCATGGAAACATCGTATTCTACTGGTCATTTTTACATGTGGACTATTATGAAGATGATTTCTTCCTAAGCTGTACTGTCTAACTGATAATAATAATGTTAATTTAAATAGAGTTTTGATGATTAAAATTAAAGCAAGCAAGCATCACATAGCTAGAACACATAAGTTACTACTGAGGAGCCACATAGACTGTGGCTTAGGTTAAAAATTAAGAAAACTGCCGGGCGGTGGTGGCGCACGCCTTTAATCCCAGCACTCGGGAGGCAGAGGCCGGCGGATCTCTGTGAGTTCGAGGCCAGCCTGGGCTACCAAGTGAGTCCCAGGAAAGGCGCAAAGCTACACAGAGAAACCCTGTCTCGAAAAACCAAAAAAAAAAAAAAAAAAAAAAAAAAAAAAAGAAAACTAATTGAGTCCCAGTAACCCAGTTAGTTTAAATTCCTCCAGTAACCCAGTTAGTTTAAATTCTTCTAATCTAAATGTTGAGAGATGTGTTCACAGGTTTTGGAGTGCATAATAACTGAAACAAAGCTTTGAAAATAACTTAAAGTTAGACTAAGCTGTTTTTGTCAAATAGCTTTGAGGTGAAAAACTCAAGAAGACAATCTAAAGTTTTAGAAAGGCACATAGTTCAATGAGGAACTTGTTAAGATCGGGGAACAAGAACAAAGCAGCCCAATTATCATTAGCTGATATGCCTTTCTTGCTAGAATTGGTTGATGACCAAAGGTGATGATTAATTCCTTGCATCCATTTCTACCCTCAATCTCCTGATAAAAGAAACTGTTGATGAGTAAGTATGCAACCTAAAGATTTAAATTAGAGCTGACTGATTCTTTCTCACATATAAAAGTTTAGATTTGTGATTCTTTAAAGATTTCTTATAAGATTACCTTTTGAGTGATTGGTCCTTTCTTTGTAACTTCAAAATATAGCCTGCCAGTAAAAGAGTACCTTGCTTACTTACACTCTGTTCATCTACAACAAGCTGCTTGGGTATGAATGTAAATGGGTTCTTGGGATAATTTGTTTTTCACCTGAAATACCCATTATGTTTAATCATGTAAGGGATATGGAAAACATGCTGTTTTTTACTTGTATTCACTGTAATCATTCACTTGAAAAACAGAATGTTGCCTGAAGGATTTTGCTTGAGTATATAAGCTGTAAGGGAAAGAATAAAGACAGAATTAAGATGAGTTAGAAGGAAAACATCAAGAATGAGAGAATGAGGGGGAAAACATTAAGAGAGGAAAAGGAAAACATCAAGAGAAACAGAAGGGACATTTCTAGATTGAGATAAGAACATAGAACGGAGAATATAGAGAAGAGTAATGAAAAGGGCTGAAGGAAACCATCAAAAGAGTGTGTGAGTGTTTTTTCCCTAGCCCTCTCAGTCCCCCAGGAAATGACAGCAACTCTTCCCATTAGGTTAGGTAATGGCATCCATCTTGCATATCTGAAGGTAACCCAGAGGTTGGAGGGTGGGAGGGAGAGAGGGAGGGAGAGAGGGAGAGGGAGAGAGACAGAGACAGAGACAGAGTTCTCTCAATAAAAGGGTAAAAGTAGTGAGCATAACATATACAGAATCTGAAAAGGCTGATTTCATAGAAACTGAGAGTGTCTCAAATGCTTCCTAAGGCTGGGTAGAAGAACATGGTTTGGGCTTAGGAACATATACAGCAGACAGATGGCAGGAATAAAAATAAGTTCTATTGCCCACCAGAGTAAATATAGCTACCAATAATCTATTGTATATTTCAAAATAGCTGCAAGAGAGTATTTTAGATATTCTGTGAACAAAGAAATAATAAGCTTAAGTGATAGATATGCTAACTGGCCATATTTGATCAGTATATAATGCACAGATAAAATAAAACATCACAGTGTACACTATTCATGTATATAATTATATGTCAACCAAAAGTAAAAGCCAGACATGGTGGAATACACCTGTAACTCCAGCAACGGAGAAGCTGAGGTACAAGAATAGAAAATTTGAAGCTAACCTGGGCAACAAAAAAGTAAAGATACAATAGTTGAGAACATGGAAATAATGTTAAGAGATACCTATTCTGATCTTATTTCAGCACATTTTAGAAAGATACTCAACCTTCAGTTTAAACAAGCAACAAATTCATCACAAAAACTTATATCAGTCTTATTTAGGCTACTCTGATCCTGGGGTTAGTATAGTTCTTTTGGTCACATTTTCATCTTTGTCCTTTTTTGCTTTGGGCCACTGTCTTCTTTCCCAATTGCCCTTAGCTTAGGGCCGTGGTTAGGTTATCAACTCAGCTGCAGGTGTGTTACAGAGAAAACTCTGATAGTAAATTGGAGGTGTGGACTGTCTATGAGATGATAGAAAAGGAAAGCCTGACTGGGGAAGGCTGGGGGGTGAGGAGTGTAAAAGGGGAAAAGTGGCTTTTCCACTTTCACCACAGTTCACAAGGCACATGCCTTTAATCCCAGCACTCAGGAAGTAGAGGCAGTTAGATCTTTGAGTTTGTGGCCAGCCTGGTCTACAGAGAGAGTTCCACGATAGCCTGAGCTACACAGAGAAACACTGTCTCAAAAAAACCAGACAAACCAACAAAAAGCAGAGGGGGAAAAAGACCATTGTTCATAATACTGGTGACAATTATCCCAGGGGTCCTAAAGATGAGAACCCAGATGCCCTGATGGGAACTGAAGACTAATAGAGGAGCACCTTCATTTGTCACCACTCAAGTTCTTTAGACAAACTACGGCCAGAGTTCACTGAAGGCCACATACAATAGCACATAATCTAGAAATGCCCTGTGTATAAAACTCAGAATTGTGTTATAAGTCAGGGTAACAGATAACCCAAACCAAGACAGACTAGGAGGGGTCACAGGGGCCTTTGGGGTGGCACTAAAGTTCAACTTTTTAAATCTGGGTACAAATTACATAAGGTAGGTTCACTTGGAAATAATTCATCAAGAAAATGCAGTTATGATTTGTGTTTTCTGGATATGTGTATATTTTAATTAAAAAGACACACCGAGAGTCTCTGCTATACAGATTTTAAAGTAGTTTCTATCTAGATAAATAGATGAGTAAAAAGCAGCCTGTGGGCTATAGCAACACCACCAGTCTGTCTGTGTCTTGATAAATGGCAGGGAGGGTGGCTTCATCCCTACAGGTATGAAGATAGACCTTCTTGGCTAGACCCAAAACTACACATCTGGATGCACACCTGCAATCTGCAAAAACACTCACTGACCAACCCTTCCTGAAAACAGTTTTGTGAAGCAAGTGTGGCAAACATTTTATTTTACAGATAAGGAGTGGCAGAGGACAGTAAAGTGATACAGGACAGTAGCAAAGCTAATAAGCCAGGGAACCAGGACTAAGATCTAGGCCAGTAGCTCTTCACACAGTCTTCTTCCTTTAGAAGAAGAGGAACAGGAAGAATCCTGTTTCCATGTTATTATATGTACTGTCACGGGTCACCTCTAATGCTCCATGGAATAAGACAGGAGAGTGAGACACACTAGATGACTTCAGTGAAGCTCATTTAAAACCATGCTTTAAGCATAGCCTTAAAAACAAACAGTGAAGTTTTGTAACTATCTACAGGAAGGCAAGAGTGCAAGCAGTGGGAGAGTGACAGACATCACAAGTATAAACTGCTGACTAAGGGCAGCAGCCTTTTCATGTCTTGAAAAAAATGAAAAGAAGAAAATTCCCAATAAATGGATATTCCACTTACCTAGAAGTGTCTGCTTATTTTGGGAGGAGTCAGACTCTGAGGAACATCTGCATGACCGGAGAACAATCACCCCACCGAGCACGCCATCTTCACTGGCAAGGAAAGGTGAACCTGGGCAGAAAAGACTGGTAGTCACCTTTCAATCACTTTTATATTTCATTTTCAATTTCCATTTGGTTACAGGAACAAAAATGTGGCACAAACAAGAACGTGAAAGATGCCCAGTTTCTAACAGTCATTGTTCATACCTCATGTACACTTGATGGCAAAGGCAGTTTTATGCCTGAACAGAAGCCATTTGGCAAAGGCAGTGCCAGATACTGCCAAGATGACATGACTGGGGAGAGCGTGTGCAGTACTGTATTTGGAATAGAACTGGAAACACACCATCAGATTAAAGGACCAAAACAACTACAGACACACAAAAATGCTCAGCATCACCCTTTGATCAACTTTTGGGGATTCTGCACAAGGCTTGCCCTGCTGCCAGAGGCATACCACCAAACGCTTTGATTTACTACCTTAAATTCAATTTTAAACAATAAGCCACAAAGTTTATTACAAACATTTAAAAATGCTCCTGATGGTTTACACAAATAAGGGTGAAGTCGAATTTCTATGATGTGAATCTGGTGGTTAGAAACAGCCCAGCCTCCTTGAGATCTCACACACTGAACCATTGTGAACATTTCAAGGACATTACATTTTAAAGCCCCTCGTTTTTCTTCCCCAAGGACATCTTCTTGAACATCTGGCAAAACAAGTGAGCCCGTGGAGAACAAATGCAAAATTAACCCAACAACTATCAAAGAAAGCAGTAAAAATAAAACTAACCAAATTGGATTTGGGGAAAACTTCTGGGTAAATTTAGTAGATTAAATACATGCATTTATCTCCACACCCTCCTTAAATCCCAGGGAATGTTGGGTGGTAAAGGAAGCGGGGATAAAAAGGACCCAAAAGTTTAAGGGGGAAAAAAGGCAGATATTTGGGGAAGAAGAGATGGAGACGCAGCTATTTCCCTTACAGACCTAGTGTGCTCACTAGTTTTTATATCAAATTAACCCAAGCTAGGGCCATCTAGGAAGAAGGATCTTAATAATAATTTAAAAAAAAAAAAAGCATCCACAGGATTGGCTCGTAAGCAAGTCTGTAGGGCATTTTCTTGATTGAGATTGATGTGGGAGGGCCCAGGACACTGTGGTGATGGCCCTGGGTTCTATAGGAAAGCAGACTGAGCAAGCCATGAGGGGCAAGCCAGTAATCAGCATTCCTCCATGACCTCTGCATCAGCTCTTGCCTCCAGGTTCCTTCAATGATGGACTGTGATGTGGAACTAGAGTTGATAAAAGACCTTTTCTCCCCTAGTAGTTTTTTGGTCATGGTGCTTTATCACAGCAATAGAAAGACTAAGAGACCCACAAAAGTTAAATCTCAAATTTCCAGGGAGTAGAGAACTTGTAGCGGAAGGAACCTTCAGAAAACCATCTAGTTGAGCTAAAAAACAAAAAAGGATCAGAAATTGGAGTCTTGATTCTCCTCTGAAGGCAAAAGTACAGAGTAAAGATGAAATGGAGGTAGCTGGTTCAATGTCTGAAAGGATCCTCCAGAACAGTGGTCAGCAAACTATGACCTGCTAAGAATTCAAAAACAAACAAACAATTTTAATGGTTGGTTTTTAAAAAGTAAAAAAAGTAAGAAAAGAAAGATTGGGGAGGAGAGAAAAAAGGGGGGCTGGGAGACAAATAGGTAGCAGGGATCACAATGAAGCTTGTGTGAAGCGAGCGCTGTTTGTTCTCAGCCTTTTCCATAAAGCTTGCTGTTCTAGTTAGGATTACTACTGCTGTGATGAAACACATCACCAAACCTACTTGGGGAGGAAAGTTTATTTGACTTACACTTCTACATTATGGTTCATCATCAACAGAAGTCAGGACAGGAACTCAAACAGGGCAGGAACCTGGAGGCAGGAGCTGATGCAGAGGCCCCAGGGGTAGGACTGGGGGTGGTGGTGGTGAGGAGGTGCTGCTTAGTAGCTTGCTCTCCATGGCTTTCCCAGGCTAATTTCTTAGAGAACTCAGGAACATCAGCCCATGGGTGGCCCCACCCACAGACTTGGTCTTGGATCATTAAGAAAATACATTCCAGGCTAGTCTGTTGACAGTCTGATCTTTTAGAGGCATTTTCTTAATTGAGGTTCCTGTCTCTCAGATGACTCCACTGTATCAAGATGACATAAAACTAGTCAGCACACTTGCCAATCCATGATCTATGGTCCAGGATTCATACTGGAGCAAGAGATGTATCCCTAAACTTGCAGAGACTGAATAATCCCCTTCTTGCAAGCCAACAGATAAAAGAGAAGAAACCTATTTGAGAGACACTAAAAAAAGTACCTTGTCCTTGTCTTATGGCAAGGGAGAAGGTGAAGAGGGGCAGGGAGTCAATGAAGAGAGGGATATGGGAAATGAGACTCCCTCCTCCATCTCTGTATTAACCATTTATCTCCTAGCAGCTAAAGAATGCCTGGCCAAAGCTACTTAAGATAAGAGTGCCTACTTTGGCTTAGAGTTCAAACCTTCTTGCCACATTTCTATCAGGGAAATAAACCATAATGTCAAATTAAAATTTGCTTTTACATGACTCCTAATTTTATTTTCTTCCTAATTTGCTACACTCTATATCAAGCCGTAAGTCTTTGGCCGTGTATGATGCAAACATCTTCCCCAATTTATTAACTACTTTGATTTTCCTTAGGATTCTTCATTTTTGGCTTACTTGTTTGGATGCTTATGCAGCTGATTTGTCAACTTTTTGGTTTAAGGCTTCTGTATTGTAAGTTTTACAGGAAAAGCCTTTCACTTGTTGGAAATTATGAAAATGTTTTGCCCATGCCCATGTTTTCTACTACTACTTTTACAATTACAGACTTTAATTTTAAGACTTCAAACTTCCGGAATTAATTTTGTGATAAAGATTGCTATGGAGAACTTATTGCCCCTAAATAGTCAGCCAACTGCATAATAAAACTTGGTGAAAAATTCATTCCTTGTCTACTGACTTTAAAATGTCCTTTTTCTGACTTAAAATATATTTTAATCATATATTAATTTTCACATGTATTTGAACCCATAAATTTTTAAAATTATGAAAACTACTCTCCTCTAAATAGTGTATGAATTTACTTACAGTCTTGCAGCATATTCTATTTGACTGGACAAGTTTCTTCTCCATATTTTTATATGAATTAATCTTTTCTGCTTTCATATGTTTTTTTCAAAATAGCACTCCTCAACAGTATTGCCTTTTATTCTTACTGAAAATTTTATTTGGACATAATTTAAATAAATTATGATTTTTGCCTATGATTCAAACATACTGATAAAATTTCCTTTGGTATATATTTGATACTTCTACTCTTAAGCTTTGATCAAACAGATGCAACTGTAGAATGTCCTGATATATAAACTTACTACAATTTTTTTCCTCAGTTCTTAGCCTTTCGATCTATCCTATCTGATTTACCACTTTCCATATTTCTAAAACAAGCAAAAAATTTATGCTAAGTGATCTTCAGCTTGGTCTCACAAAACAGAACAAAACTCAAACTCAACAAAATAAAAGCCCTCATGTTTCCAAAAGAGCTTGGATGTCACGCTGTCTATGAGTGAGGGTAAAACACTGAATTGGAAAAGGTTTAATTTAACTAATCAAAAGTACATGAAAGACTTCTCTGGTTCAGTATTTAAAACATGGAAAGCATTTTAAAACAATTCTGAAGGAACAGAGGCTTTGCTTATTATAGTCAAGATCCCATGTGTGTGCTAAACCTTATGTCCTTTATAATATAGTTCAGGATGTCTCCCAGAACTCTGTGTTTATGAGCAATGTCTTTTACTTTAGGACCCAGGGGATGTGTTTTGTTTTATCATGGACTTGGTAAATAAAGTCCAAATGTACAAATAAGGCAGATAAACACCTAGAAAAGTCTCTATCAATCTCTGCACAAAGATCTTAAATGGCACAGACTATTAAGAGCACTACACACCTTCTGGAGCTGCTGTTGTTTTTCCTGTTTTGAGTTGTTTTTCTATACACCCATTTGCCCAGAGTACAACTCACTTTCACTCTGTAACCTGTTTACTGCACATAAGCCCATAACATTGAAGAATAGTTAGTTACTCACTGCTCATTCAGCTTGGAGATGGTGAAATGTTAAAAAGGTTACATGAAAGAGTACCCAGTGGTCGTAATAGTGTAGGTTCTCAATATCTGCTACAAGATTCCAGAGAATTACTGTAAGGCAGACCAGCAGGCATGGAAGCACCATGTCCCTGGTACAAACAGCACAAAGAGACACCTAGTTCTAGGCACAGAGAAGAGTTTTGTCGTATCAATAAGTTTAGAACTAGTTTATTTAAAAAAGGAGGAGGAGACAGGTGTGGAGAGCAAAGGAACAATAATGTTGAAAGCACCCAGCACTATGAAGGAAGAGGAAAACACACACACACACACAGACTGACAGACTGACAGACTGACTGACTGACTGGACTGAAAAGGTCAGAGGGCAATAGTTAGGATCTGGTAGGTCAGAGTACTTTACTTTGCTGAAATCGGAGGCGTAAGAAACAAACAGAAATCTATGGTATAAGAGAAGCTTTGAAAGACTGATGGCTCAGAGGGTTAAGAAGGTGATATCACTTGCTTGGCAAGCTGAGAACACAGTAAGCAAATAATAAGGAACATTATTGTCTGTAGACGTTAGTTTTCCTGTGTCCCGCAGCCACTCACTCACAAATAAACATACAGAGGATTTTATTAATTACAAACTGTTTTGTCTACGGTTCAGGCTTATTGCTAGCTAGCTATTATATCTTAAATTAACCCATTTCTATTAATCTATATATTGCCACGGGGCCATGGCGTTACCAATCTGTTGGCATCTTCTTGCTCCTTGGGCAACTGGGTCATGTCCACCCTGACTCCGCCCTTCTCCCTGTCTCTCTGCTTGGATTTCCCACCTGGCTCTCATCCTGCCTTACCACAGGCCAAATCAGCTTTATTTATTAACCAATGGGAGCAACACATATTCACAGCATACAGAAAGACTG